CATCACCTCACCACAAACATTTATCATTTCTTTGTGTTGGGAACATTTCAAATCTTCTCTTCTAGCTCTTTTGAAATATACAATATATTGTTCACTATAGTCATCCTACTGTGTTATTGAACATTAGAATTTATTCCTTCTAACCGTTTGTACCCATTAATCTACCTCTCTTCACCCCCCACCCCCAACACATACATTCTTCCCAGCCTCTGGTAACTGTCGTTCCATTCTATATCCATGAGATCAACGCTTTTAGCTCTCCCATGTGGGTGAGAACACGCAGTATTTGTCTTTCTGTGCCTGGCTATGTCACTTAACATAATGACCTCCAGTTTCATTCATTCATGTTGCTGCAAATGACAGGATTTCATTTTTTTTTCTTTTTTTTTGGCCAAGTAGTATTCCATTGTGTATATATACCACATTTCTTTATCCATTCATCTGATGATGGATACTTAGGTTGTTTCCATATTTTTGCTATTGTGAGTAGTGCTGCAATAAACATAGGGGTGCAGGTATACTTTTGATATACTTATTTCCTTTAGTTTGGGTAAATACCCAGTAGTGGGATTTTTGAATCAAATGGTAATTCTGTTTTTAGTTTTTTGAAAAATCTCCATGTTTTCTGTAATTACTGTACTAATTTACATTCCTACTAATGTTGTATCAGAATTCCCTTTTTCTGCATCCTCACCAGTATCTGTCATTTTTTTGTCTTTTTGATAATAGCCATTTTAACTGAAGTGAGGTGATATTTCATTGTGGTTTTGATTTTCATTTCTCTGATAATTAGTTATGTTGAACTTTTTTTCATATGCCTTGTTGGCCATTTCTCTGTCTTCTTTCGAGAAATATCCATTCAGATCCTTTGCCTACTTTTTAATGACATTATTTGGTTTTCGTTGAGTTGCGTTCTTTATATTATTATTTATATTCCCCCTGAGTTGTTTGAATTCTTTGTATTATTACTTGTATTCCCAAGGGGAGGGTCCATATCTTCATCTGATTATCAGTAGGGTCTATTATAAATTTTAATTTAGTACCTGAAAGAAACCTCTTTCACAGGCTTAGGTTTATGAAATTTAAACTTTCTCTCTTTTAATCAAAAGTCATCTGATCCTTTATGGCACAGAAGTTTATTTAGTGGAACCTACCTCAATTGGGTTTTCTTTTAAAACATTTTCTAGTTTTCAAGTTTTTAGTTCTGTTTTACTTTTTAACCTAATAGAAATTTATGTTTATGTTTATCTCAGTTTTCTTTTCATTGTCACAATTATAAAATTTAAGTCTATTTTCCAGGCTTTAATTTAAAATAGAAATTGGTTTCTTTTCCTTTTAAAAAACCCCATGGAACTAATAGTTTGAACATCAGCAAGTTGCATATGTAACTCTGTGATTAGGGCTGTAGATATGTGATTAAGCAGTGAACATTGATTTTTGCTGTTGTTACTTAAGTCATAAGTGCAGTTGAGCCTAATCGGATCATAGTTGAAAACGTTGTAGCCTTCTAATATAATGAACAAATAAGAACCTGTACAGCTGTTCTTTTTCTGAAAAGGGAACATAATGGCTAAAAAAAAAAAAAAATGATGTTCGAGCATTGTTAGGAATGAATTCATATTGCTCTATAAGTTGCCAAATGTCATATTTAATAAGTCACTTTTTTAAAAAAGTCAGATCAGCAATAAATGATCAGTATCTCATTCCTTATCTCCTGTAGTTACACAGAACATGAAGAGTGTTTACATTTTAAATTGCTTTGGCTAAATGTTAGAGAAATCGTTTTGGAGTCAGTATCAAATTGGTTGGTATCAGACTTGAAGCTTAAACACAAAGCAGCTGTTGTTGAGCAAATACTATTTTCATAACATTAATATGCTTTCAGTTAACGAATGAACCACTTCCATCACCACCTCCATGTTTAACTACTGTTTGACTTTCTTGGTGACTAATTTGCTTTCTCAATAGATTATTTACTTTAACTGAAACAGGAAGAATTTTATTTAAATAATCCATATTTTTCCATCTGCAGAATGTACTCAAGAAAAATGGGGATTTCCAATGTGCCACTATTTAAAGGAAGAGAGATGGTGTTGTGGTCGTAATGCCAGAATGTCAGCATGTTTGGTATGGTTATATTTTTTCCTAGAGTAAGAGCTGTATTTAGATGTTGCAGAATTTATTATTTTTGGCTAATATCATGCATTAAATGCCAAATTTTGCAGAACATCATCAGTAATACTTTTGTGCATTGCTAATTATGAAGAAAAATGACTTGCCCTTCCAACATCATCTATTCTACGTGTAGTAAAGTAACAGATTTTTATATATGATTACTTCAATTATTATATAAAATGTACCAAGTTGTAAACACAGAATTAGTTCAGTACTTTCTTCACAGCTCTGTGATGTGTTTACGTTTGTTTGTAGCAGATCATTTGGTCTCCTGAATTTTTATACAATGGGAAAATATTATTAAATATTAAGCTACCTGGAATATGAAGTAAGTATCTGGTTAAATAAAACCTTAATTGTGCCTGATTTGACAGGTATCTTTATGTCTAGAACGCTTTAGCCCATAGTGTTCTCTGTTCATGGCACTATGTTGTTTTTGTTTACTAAAAGACAAAATAATATGTTCGTTAAAAATTATAAGAAAATATGTTAAAATATAGCATGTAAATATATCTGTATGTTTGTATATATGCATAATAATAGCATTGAATTTGATTGTTTTGGCTATACTAAAAGTGAGCCAGGAATATGTCGTTTCATTTTTTTCCTGTTTTCTAATTCCTTCTGAAGTTCAAGGGCTGTATAATTGGAATTGACATTCAAGGATATGTGTTTGTGTATACGACACACATCCATTATAAATCAGCCCTAAATTACACAAGCATACTAATTAACATTCTTTAATGATATTAACACTTTTAACTGCATAAACTTACATGTTATCAATTAATCTTTTTAAATGTCACTTTTACAAACCCTTATACAATGTGTTTATAAAACTTATAAGATAAGACTAAATATATCAACAGTCTGTCTTGTTTTTTTTTTTTCCTTAAAGGCATTGGAGCGGGTTGCAGTTGGCCAAGGGGTAAGTAAGAATGTTTAATCCAAGTGATGAACACAATCATTTTTCTTTCAACTACTCTTCATACTTGACCTGCTGATGAACTTAAAACCTGATGGATTTTAATAAATATCACCTCTACTTGTCACTGCTGCATATTCAGATTTATGGGTTTTCCATAAGTTTACTTTAAAAGAGAAATGAACTTTCAGAACAGTAAATTGAGCTTTAAGGAAAATTTCCACATTATGCTCTTATACTAACCTCTCATTTCTTCCTATTATGCTAAACAGTCTGTAAGGATTTCTAAAGAATGCTGCTGCTGACAATTAGGCTTTTGTGGGCTTAGTTCAAGTAAAGATAAACAAGGTATAGTATTCAGTATACTATTATTTTCACTTTAGTCCAAAACACATATTTCAGTTGGTTATTTGACATTTTTCCTTATTGACTTGATTAGTCATTAGTTGCAACAGCCAAATGGGTTTGTATATATAAACGGAAGTTAAATATAATCCCCTAAATATCTATATAATTGTCTTATCCTTCATCTTATCTTCATGAAACATATTAGGGATTTTTTAAGAGTTCTTTTTTGAAATTTTTCCCAAGATTTCTTCTTGAATTTTTAAAAATAATTTCAATAACAAGTGTCATTCACTGAGCACTTACTCTAGTCCAGTAATGTTTTCTATGTTATTATTTTTTAAAATGTATTCACTATGCCTATCTAAAAATTGATAAAAACAGATTCTTTTGAAGGCATTAACATTAGAGCATATGGTTTAGTTTGTGGGACTTTAGTTTCAAACTGCTAGTTTGCATCTTGTATTCATCACTTACTGGTTCAATGACCCTGGGCTCACGTCATAATTTTTCTGTAGCTTAATTTCTTTATCTGTAAAAATAGGAAAAATAATAATAATAATAGGAGTAATACCTTTCTCATGGGATTAAATGAAAGAAAAATGTAAAATACTTAAAACAATATCTATCACATAGTTCTTAATAAATGTCAGCTATTATAGGTAATTAATAATTATAATCATGAAAACATTAGGTAAATCTTACACAGAGCTTACTAAAGCACTATTCAAAGTTTTTCTCATCAATTAAGATAATAAATACTAGTACCATTAGATATGTGGTATTAATATCCTGTGATACACAGGAGGACACTTAAAGGTAGTGAATGCTGGGATTTGAATCTCTGTTGCTGGAGTTCAAGGTCTTAACTACTGTACTACATATCAACTTAGTGGTTCTATAAGGGCCTGGAAAAAGAAAAAACCTTTATCGTATTAATAATGCCCAATACATCTGTGTGGTGCTTTTTAATTTCCCAAGTATTTGCTCATGCTTACAGTCAATCTTATGAGTTGAGTGTTATTCTAAACTTAAATGAGAATGATACACAGCAGAAATTTAATGGTGTGCTCTAGCTGCCCTAATTAATTGCAGAGCCCCGACTTCCAGCTTAGTGCCCTTTCCACTAGACCTGTAAAATGTATGTCTAATACGTATGCTTTAAGGATGTACACTTTATGCTCCTTCTTATGTTTAAAATGCATTAGAGTGTTAAGTTGATTTATCACTTGTGAGGGGAAGAAAGTAAACTCTGAACCACATCTAGTTTATTCCTGGAATAGCTGGGCACAGGCTGCTCAGGAGATGTTGACTCCATTCCCGCTTACCCCCATGTGTATTTACCAGGATGGATAGTGCTAGTTATTCCAGGAATGTGCATTTGAAGGCACTTTATAACTCTCTTCTCTTTCTCTTAGGAAACTGCTATAAAGCACTTACATACTCAAAGTAACTTGGGAATGATGATTTATTCTATCCTGCTGTATTTCTCTGTACATTCCATTTCTGCATGTTCTCTTGCTTAAAATGCATGTCTTCGTCTTTTTTTAATGTCTTTTACAATTTTTAATAACAATATAAATGTCATTTATTTCTAAATTTTCTTGATATCATTTTATATGATTTTTTTCAAAAGCATGAGAAAGGAGAGTTTTAACTGTTTTTACAAGTTTCATATAAAATTAAAGTTTCTATCTGTTATAGCTAATCAAACAAAAAGTTAAGAACTTGGTAAGCCATTTATACTACTATTACTAATATTTCACTTCATGCAATAGTAGATTTGCCAAAATGCCTTGAATTTCAATAGAACATTATAAGAGTAGGTGTTAACATATGAAAAGGGATTTAAACAGTTTGTGAGAGAAATGAAAGGATTTTCAAGGAAATAAGGGACAGATGATAAAGTAGAGATTTGGGTACTGTAGAAAAGAGTTACTCAAGATGATAAAATCTAAAATGAAAATATATACAGAGATACGAAATTTTAAATGAAATGTTTTGGCACAATTTTCAAAGAAAGAAAGTTTTGAGATTAGTAGTTTTTGTCTCAAGCGAAGGAGTTGCATTTGGAAAGAGATTTCTTATAAGAATTATACCTTGGAAGGTTATAAATTTTAGTGTGGCCATTCAAATGTGTGTATGAGTCTACTTTCAATGAGTTGTTTTAGGACTCAATTTGGGGAGTGTGGTATTCCTAACACCATTTCTGTTTTGTTTTTGCTGATTCATATTTTAATTAAAGCCCACATTGACTTAAAATGTATATACAGAGTTGTAAATTGTCTTCCAAAATAATAATACATAGGTAAAACCAAAACTACAATAAACTGATGTCAAAAAACCTACCCTAAAAAAGAAACATAGTAATATGGAATTGCAAAACAAGAATAAGAGAAATGTTTACCCATAAAATCCTATATGCAACATTAATGTACCATTTAAAAAGAAATTTTCTTATTTTTTTTAATTTAAATAGATTAGAGGTGGGGGGTACAGGTGATTTTTTGTTACATGGATGAGTTGATTCACAACACCAGTTCTTACTAGAATCACCATGCCCACTATTCCTACCTTCCAGAGGGGATATAACTTGTGTTCTGACACAGTGCTTTGTTAATATGCTATAAGTAAGATATTCTCCAGTGACTTAAAAAGACAGTGCCATCCGGGGAAGACCCAAGAAATAATGGGTCTTCCCCATTATTTCTGTTTTTTTGTAGTCTCAGCACCACAGTGTGGTAACTTAATGTTAGATGGGGGCGAGGGGTATTAGAGTAGGTTTTCTACCTGAGCATATAGATAAAATTTTATTTTGTTATAAATTCTATCTGAATTCAAACATGTTTATTCTAGTTGGAAACAGATGAAAATGACACTTTTGGACTCTGAAGAAGAATGAAGGAGAATAGAAGTTACAAAAAGATAACTCAGTGGATATACACATTCCACTGAACTCTATGTTTAAAACTTGAGCAGTCTCCGGACAGTTTTTAGTTTCATCTTGCGTGACTTCTCAAAAGCATTGCAGTATTATTGATTATTGTTCTTACTCATTTTTCTTTTTTTTTTTTTTTTTACCAATATTAACTTTGCATGGAAGATGGGTTGTTGTTGCTAACATTATTTTATGTGTTGGGTATCCTGTACTATTAACATCAAAAGATCTATGAAGGTGTGGGTGGGGTTTTGGTGACTTTTATAGTTTCTTAAAGAGTGCCTCTTCTGTTGCTGCAGTGAAGGGCTCTTTGTTTTATAAATATTAATAGTTTCACCTTCTGCTTCTTTGAAACTATTATCTCTCACTGGGCTTTTCTCTTCAGCCACTCCTTCTTTCCTTTGGAAAATGTTTGAACCTTCATGGAACACCTCCCATCTCTCTTTCCCCTAGAAGGGAAGCCTTGCCAAGAATGCAATCTCTTATCCTATGTCCTTTCCAAGCCTCTACTTTTCAACTCTGCAGTAGCCAGCCAATGCCATCTGTCAGACCTCAGTCATATCTTTAGCATTTCTTTCCTTAGGATAGTATCCTCTCTTTCTTGGTGTGAATCCTAGTTGATATTATCTTTATTCTACCTCCATTAAGACAAAATTGCATTCTCTTCTTTTTTATTCATGCCCTTCCTGACTCTTACAGGCTCCACAGCTGAGTGGCTGGTCTTGAAGTTTATTTCTACATTTTTAACTACATTTTTAACACTCCATGTAGGTGTCAGCCCATTTTTCATTGATTATGACTTTTCTTCTTCATTCACTACTATTTCTCTTGTGGTTTCATCTATTTTCCTGCAGAGTTACTTCCATGGTGAGAATTAGCCTCAGGGTAACACTAACTTGAAATGGAAATATTATAGTCATCTTCTATGTTTAGCAACAAAGTCAGGTTTCTAACATTTACTTTCAGCTCTGACTCCCTGGTATTGATTTAATTTCTGTTTTTTATTTGTTTCTTGTGCTCATATATGTCTACATTTTTTTCAGCTGTCTACTGAGTCACTCTTCTATCGTGCCGTTCTTCAGGATATTATTAAAGATTGTTATGGCATCACCAAATGGTATGAGGATTTTATTTTAATAAGAATAACTATATTATATTATAAGTGAACTGACTTTTAGTCTTCAGGTGAATTTATGCAGGGTCACTGTTATTAGAAGAAGAAATATGAATTTGAACATAATAAGTAAATAACGAAGTATGCAGCAACTGTATCTTAGATCAATCATGAAAATGGAGGCTCTAATGATTCCTTTGTGTTCTAAAAGGTTGTTGTAATATTAAAAATATATATATAGAATGTATTTAGAATTTTTAAAGTATTGAAATGTTTTGTATAAGTAATTCAGTGAATATATTATCAAATGAGCAACAGTTGTATTTAAAATGGTTCACAACCAGTATAGCATAAACACTTTACTAATTAAACAGGTATTGATTATAAACAACCATTAAGCTCATTCATGTCTCTACTGGTAGAATAGTAGCCCTGCATACGTTTTGTTTTGTTTCTGTTGTCCCCAGATAAGGCACTCCTTATACAGAGAAGCAAGAGGTAGGAGAATTTTTCCGTAAGATTGGCTCAACACTGTTGTACTCGATTCTGGCAGGTTTTATAAATATCCTCTTACTAATTACAATATTAGGATTCTGATACTCATTTAGTGTAATTGGATTATTTTTCAAATTAAAATAGGGCAATTTCCACGTTCTCAAAAACCAATTCACACTTAGAGATAAAAGAGATTTTTAGATTAGCTATTATTCCCCTGTAAGAAAAAAAATGTCATTTTTACTGATAGAATTCACTACATACAAATATCTACATAGACTGTTGTTTTCAACTGTCATTTCTAATTATATAACTCCCATAACTGTATCTCAATCTCCATTCTCTTTTCCATATATTTACAAATTTTCAAAATGTACAAAAATGAATTTCTCATTTTCTCCTGAAAACTAGCTCCTCTTGAACTCACCCCAATATGCTAACTAACCTTGTTGAAAAAAATACATTCAAATATTGACTGCTTGCCACCCTTAAAGACCTCAGATCTGCTCATGTGTTTATTATTTTTTTAATGACCTCTTAAATTTGTCTCCATTCTTTTCTAAACTTTTCTTCTCACTTAGAAACTCAACACTTTCCAACCCTCCACCTTGCTTCCTTCCTTTACTACTCTGAAGATAGATGATGTTTATTATAAGACATTTTATTTCTGAGCCTTATGTCAGCCACATTTGACAATGTTGATAATTGTTTTTTTCTCTAAAATCTCTTCCTCATTATCTTCCATTATGCTGCATTCTTTTGAGTTTCATTTTTTTTACTCTGAACACTTATCTGTTTTCTTTAAGAATTGTTATTCTTCTTCTTTTTTTTTTTCTTTTATTTCAGCATATTTTGGGGGTACAGATGTTTAGGTTACATATGTTGCCCTCGGTCCCCCCCCGCCAAGTCCGTGTTTCAAATATGTCCATCTTTCGGGTGGTGCGCATTGCACTCCTTGTGTATACAAATACCCGTCCCCTCCTCCCTCCTCCCCCTGTCCCCTGCCCAACATCCAATAGATGTTATACTTATATGTGCATTTATGTGTTGATTAGTTAATACCAATTTGATGGTGAGTACAAATGGATCCCGTTCTTCTGCTCTTGTGGTGCCCCACTTTGGATAATGGGCTTAAGTTTAATCCAGGAAAGTATAAGAGGTGCTAGATCACTGTCGTTTCTTATGATTGAGTAATATTCCATTGTAAACATATACCAAATTTTGATAATCCACTCATGGATTGACGGGCACTTGGATTGTTTCCACATTCTTGCAATAGTGAATTGTACTGCCATAAACATTCGGGTGCAGATGTCTTTATCGTAGAATGTTTTGTGCTCTTTTGGGTAGATGCCTAATAGTGCTATTGCTGGATCGAATGGTATTTCTATTTTTAGCTCTCTGAGGTATCTCCAAATTCTTTTCCACAGAGGTTGCACTAATTTGCAGTCCCACCAGCAGTGTAAAAGTGTTCCTGTCTCTCGACATCCTCGCCAACATTTGTTGTTTTGTGTTTTTTTGATAGAGGCCAATCTCACCGGGGTTAGGTGATACCTCATTGTGGTTTCGATAGATGCAGAAAAAGCATTCGACAAAGTCCAACACACCTTTATGATAAAAACTCTCATCAAAATAGGCATAGATGGCTCATTCCTTAAAATTATCAAGTCCATCTATGACAAACCCACTGCCACTATCATATTAAGGGGGAAAAATTGAAACCATTCCCACTTAGAACCGGAACAGACAAGGCTGCCCTCTATCTCCACTTCTATTCAACATAGTGCTCGAAATCCTCGCCACAGCAATTAGGCAAGAGAGGGATATTAAGGGTGTCCAAATGGGGACAGACAAGATCAAACTCTCGCTCTTTGCCGATGATATGATATTATATCTAGAAAACCCCAAAGACTCATCTAAGAGACTCCTAGAACTGATAAATGAATTCAGCAAAGTCTCAGACTACAAAATCAACACACACAAATCTGAGGCATTCATATATGCCAACAACAGTCAAGCAGAAGATCAAATCAAAAAGGCAATTCCTTTTACAATAGCCTCAAAGAAAATTAAATATCTAGGAATATATTTAACGAAAGATGTAAGAGACTTACACAGGGAGAACTATGAAACACTAAAAAAAGAAATTGTAGAAGATGTAAACAGATGGAAAAACCTACCTTGCTCATGGATTGGTAGAATCAATATCGTTAAAACGTCCATACTACCTAAAGTGATCTACAGGATTAATGCAATCCCTATCAAAATCCCATTATCATTCTTCACAGATCTGGAAAAAATAATTCTGCGCTTTGTATGGAACCAGAAAAGACCTCATATAGCCAAAGCAATCTTAAGTAAAAAAAACAAATTGGGAGGTATCAGTTTACCGGACTTTAAGCTGTACTACCAGGCTGTAGTGATTAAAACAGCTTGGTACTGGCACAAAAATAGAGACATTGACCTCTGGAACAGGACTGAGAATCCAGAGATGAAACCATCTGCATATAGTAATCTAATCTTTGACAAAGCTGACAAAAACATACACTGGGGAAAAGAATCTCTTCAATAAATGGTGCTGGGAAAACTGGATAGCTACATGCAGAAGACTGAAACTAGACCCCACCTCTCACCTCTTACAAAAATCAATTCAAGGTGGATAACAGACTTAAACCTAAGGCATGAAACCTTAAGAATTCTAAATGAAGATGTTGGGAAGACCCTTTCAGACATTGGCCTAGGTAAGGAATTCTTGAAGAAGACCCCCAAAGCAATCGCCGCAGCAACAAAAATAAATAAGTGGGATCTAATCAAATTAAAAAGCTTCTGCACTGCCAAGGAAACTATCATTAGAGTGAATAGACAGCCCACAGAATGGGAAAAAATATTTGCTCTCTACACATCTGATAAAGGGCTGATAACCAGAATCTATCTAGAACTCAAAAAAATCAACAAGAAAAAATCAAACAACCCCATCAACAAATGGGCAAGCGAAATGAACAGAAACTTTTCAAAAGAAGACAGAATAATGGCCAGCAAACATATAAAAAAATGCTCAACATCTCTAATCATTAGAGAAATGCAAAAGAATTGTTATTATTCTATCCCCTGAGTGTATCTAGGCACTCTTCTCTTTTATATGCTGCTCCTGTCTCTTTATATTTTCTCTTTCCCTTGGCATCCCTTGCCATGAATAACTCTTGAGTCATGTAACTAGCTCCCACATCTTTTTTAAAAGTCCAAATTGGCATTTCTCATTTTTATCTGAACAGCTTTATTTAAGTACCTCACGAATACATCAGATTCAGCTACATCCAAAAATCAAGGTGATCATCCCAGCCATTCTTTTCCTCTTTCTGCCTTCTCGTGACTTCTTTTGTCATTTCTGGGAATGGCATGACCTCTATTAACCTTTAAAAATATGGAAATTACATTCGATTCTTCTGCCATCATCACACCACATATGGATTATTTGGCAAGACTTGCACATGTTATGTTTTTTAATCTAGCAATTATTTATTGTGTGACAGACTTCCTATCAGGGTATGGGGATTCTGGGTTCATAGGACATGATGTCCACATAGAAACATTTTATATTCTGGTCAGAATGGCATGTGTAAAAACTAAAGAAAATGATAGACACCCACTTCCAATAACAGCAGTCTAGACAATTAGGACCAACCTCACTTCTGAGAAAAGCTAAAAATGCTGGAGCTGTGTGTGTGTGTGTGTGTGTGTGTGTGTGTGTGTGTTTAAATTTGTTTTTAATTGGTTTGAGAACATCAGAAACCTGTCAAGGAAGTTAAAAATTATAAGGCAAATATCTAAGAGAAAATGGAAACCAGTTCTTGAATAGGCACCTGTCTACTAGTGAACAGAGAAGGTAAAGAGGTTGAACACAGCTTTCAGTGCAATGACAGTTCTAGTGAGACAAAAGTTAAGAGTTTGTGGTCTGCCTTGGATGAGGGCTCAGGAGTAGGCCAGGTGAACCACTAACACTTTGAGTGGCTAAATATGTCCCTAAAGTATGTTCTTGAAGGTTCATACTGTAAGAGTGAGAGTGAACTAGAAATAGAACAGTTCTACACTGGACTAAAGCTCCCACTTTGAGTCATCTCAAGCTGTGATTAAAATATTTCAGATTATTGCTTCTGCTAGCTGCCTGCAAGAAGCAAATGCTCTCTGGACAAAAATAATATAAATCTAAGCCTCAAATTATCATTATAATTTGGTATATGTAGCACCTGGCAGTCAATCCAAAATAACTAGCCATATGATGAAACAAGGCAGCGTGACCAAAATCCAAGATAAACTACAGTCAACAGAAATGGACCTCTAGGAAATCCAGAGAAAGGCTTAAAGTAACTATACTTGACAGACTTCCTTTCTGAGAAAATGGAATAGATGTACTTTTCTCTATTTTTCCTGCTATGTACCACTAACTCCCCTGAACATTATATATAAAACAAACATAAGAAGACTCTGAAAGATGAAGAGAAAAAGGCAAA